CCATTTCTGTAATAGGAGCTCCTATAAGATACCTTTACTTTGAAATGTCAAATACTTTTGGAAACCTAGGCCCTATAACCAGGCCTTGCTTACATCCTTATTTATTTTGTATTTACCTAGATTTATGAATGAACAGAGAGCACCCATCTCCTCCCTCTGAAAGGCTTTATATGTAGTATGCCCTTTAAAAGTTATTGTGCGTCGCATAATTCAGTTTAATATGCTGGCTTATAGCAATACGTTTCCTTTGATATTACTCTCCTGAAGGCAATATGACCTTGAAGGTGATATTTTAAACTAATAAATGAGGAGAGGAACTGAAAACCAAACTGAGTGCTGTAAGCCAAAAGGATGGATTTTCATCTCAAGCTTTTACTTCCCTACATGAAAAATACAGAAGTCTAAAGTTCATGTATTTACATTTTTTCTTGATTTCCCAAGATTTTATGCAAATTTTTGTCTATTCCCTTTTGTATATGTATGACTCCATAAATCACTTCATCCATTGTCCTGTCATTCCTTTTTTCACTTCCCCTACTTCACCCCATAATTTTGAGATCACTGAGTAAAGTCAGCAACATTTGACAGAGGTACACTAGTCTCAAAGCTGCAAAATCCTATATGTTTTGTGAAAACGGTGTGCTGGGTACAAGAAAGATGTTCAAATAATTATTTTCATGCAGAGGAGGGTAGGAAGGACTTATCCACTTTATTAAGAGAATGGAAAGAGTGAGCAGTGAATTAGTACACAGGGTCTTGCCATCTGAAAAACATGTCTTTGCTTTTGCACCCTCTCTTGCCAAAAATTTAGCAGCGATGAGGAGGCAGCATGTTGTGCTAGGGACAGGAAAATGACATGGGAGGTTGTTGTGGGTACTGTTGAGAGGTTTTAAATATAGAGAGTGTAAATGAGAGTATTGTACTAGAGGCACCGTGAGAAAATAGGACAGGAATCTATAGAAGAAGAACAGCTTGTACATGGTCCTGGTGACATAGTGACTCTCTGGTGGTGGAAGATAACAGGCTCTATTCGCAGTGGATTTAAAGTGAGGTCCATTCTTTGAACTTGGTGAACTCCAGCTATGGGGCTGCCTAAAGTCTGGTTTTATATCTAGCCATTATCAAAACTGGGTGTCTCAAGACAGCCCTAGACAGAGGAGGAAAAAGAAGATAAGGGACTGTAAGCAGTTTCAGAAGAGCTCTTTATCACTCTTATTTTGCCAGCACGGACTACTTTATTTATGTTTTTTTGTTTAACTTTTTCCTTGGTGCTTGTCCAGACATTTGAGGTAAAAAGGGAACATTTCAGCTGCCAGGAGTATCAGGTTAGAGAGAAAATGTTTTGCTCCGAGTGGCTTAATTTGAAACAAAAGATGGGAACAAGGCTTGGGTGAAACTCCACAGAGGGAGGATGACGAGAACAGTTTTAGTGCTAGATATAATTATAAAATTGCATCAAGATAGTCTGGAATGGTAAATACCCATGGTTTCTTCCTTGATATAAAATTTGGCCTTTCTCTGAAAGAGCATTTCTTTTCCAGTGGATGCCAAGTCCACTGACAAACTGAGATGAATCCCACAAAGTTTACCAAACATGAATTTCAGTCTGCAGGTTGCAGTGCAGACATGGGAAGGGAAGGCAGAGTTTGTGCTTTCCGTAATGTCCCCTCTTTTCAAGACCATTCATTAGCAAGACCACCACTTTTCATAGAACTGAATCATAGAATTGTCTAGGTTGGAAAGGACCTTTGAGATCATCGGGTCGAACAATAATTTTCACTCTGGCCCACATAAAATCTTATTCTTTAAAAATATCTTTTGTTATTACTGATTTCTAACATGCTAAGAACTAGGGAAATTTGCCCACTAGAAGCTGCACTTTGCTGCTTACAGTGTCTACAGTGAGCTACCTCTTCCAAAGCTACCTTGAGCATCCCTACATCACATGGCAAAGGAGACGTGCCATTCGTGCCAGAGGGAACCCCACTGTGCAGTTTCACACTCAAGTCACATTGATTTCCGTGGGCAGATTTCACCCAGCAGGAGTTGCTGGCTGGATCATGGTTTACAAATGTAAGAGGGTTGTACATACAGGTCTTTATTACATTTGATTTTTTTTTTCCATTCTTTTCCTTGTTCTTATAAATTGTTTGTTTCAAATATGCTTTTCCAGGCAGCAGCAGGCAACGTTCTTGTTGATTATTAATTCTTTCCAATCTCCTTCACTCACCTAATTCAACAATTCAGGCAAATTACTTGACTCTCTTCTTCCCTACCCCTATTTTCCAACATCATAACATCAGTGGTTTCTAGCACAATGAACTTATGTCTTTTAAAATGGGGCTGTTTTTTAGTTTTGCATAGTGCTTCTTCCCTACCCCTATTTTCCAACATCATCACATCAGTGTTTTCTAGCACACTGAACTTATAATGTCTTTTAAAATGGGGCTGTTTTTCAGTTTTGCATAGTGTTACCAAAAAAATAAAAAAAAAGATAAAAGCCACCTGATATAACTGAATTTGAAACACAGTGCTAGGAAATATTTATTCCGTGTCCACACTTTCTTTTCTGCAGTATGAGGATTTCCTTGCTTTTCTCTAGGCTGGCTTGTGGTATCTATTGCTATGCCAGTGTTTAGAAGACAACTGATACTGAAGTAATAAGAAAAATAAGAAAGCTTTCCCTATTCCTACCAAACTCATTTAATCTAAGGGAGCAAGGAGAGCAGGTGGTTCTCAGAAGGTCTCATTAGCCACTTTGACTCTCTAACACCTCTTGTAAGCAAATGTCTCATTACCGTGGATATTTACATATCCTTTACTTTCATACAGAGTGCCATAGATCAGTGAACTATAAACCTATTGCTACACATCTTCATATTTACATGGTAAATATGGTTCCTACTGAGTGGACAGACACTAGCTATCAAAGACAATAAAATCCAATAGTCCTCAATGCGATCTTGATTTTCATCTTTAGTACACTGATTGTATCACATAACTTTTCAAACCCCAGCCTTTAAAACTTTTGGAGATGTTTCAGTGAATCACAATATTCATACAATGAAATCCCTATCTGGCAAAGGAAACAACCTGGGGTAGGAGTGGAAGAAAGAGAGAGGAGGTAGAAATGTAAAGGATTCCTTTTTTTTCCAGCTCCTGTGATTAATTAAATAACATTTTTGCTGTAATATTGTATTCTGGTGGGTCTGGCAAAGCTGAGGGATTTTTAGCTAATAGGATCAGGACTTTATATGGTTATTAAGTTACATGATGTGATCTGATGCTGCATCCTTTAATTTGAAAGAATGATTATCAACTGCTTATCATATGCCATCATTATAACATCGTAAAAATGTTGTTTGAGACTGACCTAATTCTTCAAACACTGCATCACTCAGACCTGCCCTATCCAGCACACATGGTAGTAACTGGCTTATTTTTTGTGAGAAAACATAGGGTTTCATTTGCTGCCACTGAAGCTGGTGGGGAAAAAATACACTAAATCCAGCCCTGTGACCATACATTCCCCAGTGGTGAAAATCTGCTGCTATCACTAAAGCTGATAAAGCCTACACTGTTTTTACAAGTTGATCACCCAAACCTTATTGTGTTGTACTTATGCCAGCCTGAAATTATGATATTTTGAAGTATTATCTGCTTTTACTGAAGATCATATTTTCCCTGGTACATAGTCAAAGGAGGAGTATATCAACAGAAAACCACATAGAAAATTGTGGAACTTGGGGCTTTTAACAGCTGATAAGATTATGTGTTTGATCTCAACATCAAATGCAAATAACCAGTGGAGATATTTAGATTTAGTTTTTTATTATTTTCCTGCTGAGATAGTGAAGGAATCTCAAATGGGGATCATCTAAGTAATTTGTTTCAGACATTAGTAGGAAATTTGGGAGATTACTCTGAGTTTTTCTGTACACAGTATTCTAGGTTTATGAGATAGTAAGATGATGGTTTACAAGTTATGGAGTAGGAGGAGGAGGAGTCATGCATAAGTAACTGCTTCTTGAAAGTCAGTCACAGTTTGCTGTGTCTCTGACAGTGACCAGAAAGAAGCAGGAGCTGGGCTCCTTGATTGGATTTACACTAGCACACAGGACCTGATTTTTTTTTTAATATCTTTTTGAGAAGACACCTCCCACACCCACAATCCCCCACCTCTTCTTTCTGCACGCTTATAACAGGAGGTTTGTTCTTTACCACTCAGGTCTTTAATTCAAAGCTTGTTGCCGGAAGCCTAATTACTGAACAGTTGTTAAGGACCTGATTCTGTCTTTAGCTTATGCAAGAGATCATCAGAGGTCAAAATCATCCTTTTGACATTGTGATTTTACATTCTCTAGAGCAAATATGTTGAAATATTTACCTTAGTTCTTTACTAAGGAAAGACATTTATACTTCCAATATTTTTTTAAGAAAATGAACAGCATGGAAGAGATGAACTTCTCTCACGTATCCACAAAACCTGCTGTAGGATGAAACAGAATCTGTTTTTCAGTTTCCAGTCATCTCTTAGAGTCAAATTCCAAAATGTTCCAGTACTCAAACTTTGACAAGCATTAGAGCCAACAGAAATTTATAGAATTTAAATCAAAGATGCCTAAATATTTAACTCAGTTATACTGAAAGACAGTGAGATGATATTAAAATGTAGCTACATGGAGGTAGATTTCATGCTCAAGGGAAAATTTGTTTCTGGTGCATGTTGGAGTGATTTAACTGGACTATTAAGTGTCATCTTCTGCCAGGGTAGAGTCTGCACAGTATTGTGCCACATAACTACATTTTTTATGGTATTCCTAGGAATGAATGTTGTTTTATTCCAGGGAAGGTTTATTAGAAAATGATACTATTAATTATTATAAACAAGCATATTTTTATGGGTGAAAGAAAGAACTAACTATAAAGCACAATAACTGAGTGAAGAAATGAACGGATTTCCACCATTAATTTATTTTATTCCTCTTTCTCTTCTATAGGTTGCCCAGGAATGTGGGACAATATTACATGTTGGAAACCTGCAAGTGTGGGTGAAATTGTCTTTGTCAAGTGTCCTGCACTCTTCAGATTTATCATCTCTGAAGATGGTAAAGTATTTTTTCTTTGTTCTTTGCTTTTTCTCTTTGTTAGGTAAAGCTGCATGACCATCATGAATGTAAAACCTCACTTAGATACTCAGTATAAATGGAAATAAAAAACTCTACAGATGTAACTATTTTGACATAGTTATTAATATTATCTAGTGTTTTTTAATAGGAAGAGTCAATGTGGAGACTACTGTTTACATGATACCAAAAAAACCCTTGTCCTTTCTTGATTTTATTTTTTTTTTAACCTTTGAAACACATGAAAATTTGCCAGGTAAAAAAGGAGAGTTTGTGAACAGGAGGAAATAACTAATAAATGGTTCACAGCAGATGTATAGATTGATTCCATGTTCTCTTGAAATTCCTTTGTGGTTTTTCCCATGATTCTGAGAAATTATCTTCCCAGCTGAATGACTGCAAGAGGCTAAATTGTCCCTCAGTGTTAGCTTACACCAAGCCTTTCTTGATAATTAACACAGTTTTGTCCACCTCCTCTCAGCACCTATCAAGGCCACTAAGATCACTTTATTAGCTGAGGAATAAGCTCATCATTTTCCCTGGGATCCCTTTTCCCCCAAAGATTATTTTACTAAGGAATTATTCATTTACCATCTTGAGTCCAAAATCCACCTTCTCTGCATTGCCACACGCAAAGCACAATTTGTAGGAGACAGTGAGTGTTTCATACACAGCTCCAGGAACACTGCAATCCTCACCTTTAAATACATCCATTTGAACTCATCCAGACGCTGAAGCAAGTGCTTGTGAAAGGGAAAGGTATTTAAGGGTGATCATTACCTCATCTAAACTTATCCACATGAAACTTGAGCATTTTCTCTATACTGAAGGACTAGTCCTCTAGATTCCATTCGTAATCAGTGGAGAGACAGAGACCCGCAGAAGGCAATTTATGTTATTCCAATAGACATGAGGTGAATCATACCTTGGAGATAACTCTCTTTCTTTATCCAGCAAGTACTAAGGACAAGTCACTTAAACTAGGCACCTAATTTTTGAACAGGGAAAGATAAGTCCCTCTTTAAATTGTCAGGTGTGAAAATATAATTGCTACTCTAATTCTATGTGCTTTAATTATATCCATGATAATTAAACATAATCTTTACTGCTGTAATATTGGTTCAGTATTGACTCTGAGTAGGATGGCACTTACTGAGCCATCCACATTTAGTGATAATAGAAAAAAAAATACAGGTCAGCATCCAGTAGGGTTTGTATCTAGCATGGGTAAGGAAATACTATTCCCTCTCACAGGTGTTTTTTTTGTTTGTTTTGTTTTTGGTAATTTTGGGGTTTTTCTGTTTTGTTTGGTTGGTATGGTCATCCTTTGGGCAGGAAAAACACTCAACCAAAAGTTTTCCCTATCAGGTTATCAGTGATGCTTGCAGCCTGCAGGCAAAACACTTTTTTGTTATTTATTGTGCATCAGCAGATGGCTGATACGTTGTTATCTCCTGATAACTGCAGGAAGCCTGCTGCTCATACAGCGCCTCTCCGAATTTCCAGTAGGACCCCTCCTTTTCGGTGGCTTGTAATCTACTTTGCCTACATACCCTCCAGCTACAGGGTGTTAACACATGGCAACATAACATACCACTTTCCCCCCCTCTGCCTGCCCGTTTTGGGTGCAGTGCTCAGGGAAATCTCCAGTTTGATACTATGGAGAGTGGTGCCATGTGCATCTACAGCCCAGGAAATCTCTCCCACTGCCAAATCTCCACATACCTCTGCCATGGACGTTCTGACTATTCTTTATTTCAAGGGGTAATTCTGATGTTTCTATTTATATCTCACACAAATATGATGCCTTTTCACTTCTACTGGTGAAATTTCTTTTCTGTGATGTTATCATTTCTCAAGTAATTAAGGTTAGGAGGACTCTCGAGAAATCATCTAGTCCATCTTCTCAAAGACAAGGTCAGCTCAATACAATCTAGTCCAGCACTTAACTAACCTGTAATCTGTTAATGGGAAAGACTTTATTTATGATTAAAAAATAATACACCCTTAAGAAAAATAACAATAAATATATATATAGAGAATGAAAAGATCTTCTACAGCTAGAGCTGTGCAAAATAAAGGACTGAAATAATATTTTTAAATTATTTGTCTAGGACTTCCAGACCTGTTCACATATTGTACTTCACATTTGACCTGTAGCAGGGTGATAGTATGACCCTAGGGGAGGAGTAGTCAGTCCAGTGTAAACATATGTCCTGGGTTTTTTTATCTCCTTACAGGATCACTAACAAAAGTGACAGCTGTTACCTCTTGTAGTGCTGGGTTTGAGGGGGTTTTGGACATCTGTTCAGTAGGAACAAAACCAAGATTCATAATTCATTAGATAAACAAATAAACATTTAATCTGGAATAGTTTGAAATCTCTGCAGATCCAGCTGGATTTGCACTAGTGACCCCAAAGTGGAAATATCTCCATCCATAATCACTCTCCTGGGTGAATCAGCATGAGTTTTCACTATCATTGCTGCTAATTTTAATTAGCTAAGTATATTTATTTCAATGAGGGCTTAATGAAAAAAGTCACATTTCATGATGGTTCCTTAAAGAAGTGGTTATTAGATAACTGATTTTTTTTTTTTTTTTAAGACACAGCTAATCACATTTTATAGATTTTTACAGCATCCTCTGGCTGCTGCTATGATTCTAGAATATGTAACTAGGCTCAGCACTGACATTGCTATTTATTAATAGCATATTCATTCTTAATACAGCAAAATTTTTATATGACCATAAAACATTTTTACAAGCAGTAGCAATAACTTTAAATTAGACTTTTAAGAAGTTTGTCCTATAAAGCACTGAAGCACCTGTAGGTACAACTGCTTGAATAACAACAAGCAAACCATATGATGGGGAATTGTTAATCTTGAAGAAGGGTAGGAATTATGTCACTTGGCTTTAGATATCTAAAAGTTACATGTCTAAGCCTGAACTGATGACTGGGATTTCTGGTTCCATAAATGGAAAGCAATGGACACTTGTAGAAGATGTTTCCCCTGACCTATCTCAAATGTTTATCGTAAGATGAATGAAAACACTGGTGGATGCAGCTTACTTCTTGAATTTCAGAAAGGAATTTGGTTTCCTTGACTTGGATGTCTGATTTCTGTAAGCAGTAATATATTAAAAAAAAAAGAGGCTACAAATTAAAAATTAACCAACTAAACTGCCATCTGAAGAGATGCTTTGTTGAAAAATTATCTCTGGATTTAGCTAAAAAACCAGCTGTTGTTGATTTTAATTTGAAAATATACTCTACTCTACCCTCACCACAACCCAACTGAGGACTAACATTTGAACTGCTGTCAGCATCATACAGAAAGCCTAATGTTACATCCCATGCTGCGTGCTTGGTGACATTGCCTTGTAAAATTTCATATCACCTCTCTGCTTCTCCAAAATCACCAGAATTTTTCATTTCTTTTCGGATGCAGACTGTGAACAAAAAGATCATTCTCAAAAGCTTTCCATGTGAAAAAAACATATTAGCTCCCGAGTCTTTCCTAATCTAGTAAGTTAAGGATTTACAGTGTTTTTCCCTCTGGAGGGTTCTTCATTATTAATTTAATTTTGTCTTCAACATTCATTTATTTGTTTGATATCCATCATTTCACAATTTTATTTTCACTGGGAGCCATAACTTCCACGTTGTTGCTGCTGCATATTATGCTTTCCAGTGTCTTTCTACTACCAGCTCCAGAGACAACCGCTCCAGACTGAAAAATACTTAAAGCATTCTAAGGTACCTTTGCAAAGGAGGAAAAAAAAGGAGGTGTGTCCAGCTGTGATGTTGCATTTCAGTATGACATAGCAAGACCTAGAGATGGCCCCAGTATAGTGATCTGCACTCCCACAGGGAAGTTTTTCTCTGTTTTGTTCTTTTTCCCTTTTTTTCCAGCCAGGAGTGATACTGTCTGGCAATGGAAATCTACAGAATCCTAATCTGTGCTTTTCTTTCTTTGCCCTGCACAGCTGAGATATCTGGAACATATAATGCCACGTTACCCAAATGGACTATTGAAAGAAACCCAATAGCCAGATCAAAAATGAGCATATTTTTAGATCTTTGATCTTAGTAAAAACTAATACAAATGATAATAGGCAGTTTCTGAGCATTGCCATGTATTCCACATTGAGAAAATGTTTTCATTCATAAATCCAAATAATAAATATGATTAGCTCTTACTGAATCTTCCAGCAATTCAGAATGTTTTTCTAGTGCTCAATCTAGGACACTACCTGCTACATGCGAAGGAGCATTACTACAAAGCATGGTTTACTATGCAAGATAGAGAAAATGTACATAATTTTTACCAAAGACATAAACCAGAACCTATATTGATACCAGGATTAAGGTGTCCTAATTAAAATCCAGTAGGATAAAGAATGTATCCAGGTATTTTATAGTTTAAGAGGAAATTAAATTCTGTGTTCACATTTTTGAATCAAAGTATTTGACTTGCTGTTGCTCTGGAATTTATGACTTCAGTGTTTGGGCAACAAGCTTTATTGTCCCTGAAAACAAGAAATTGAAAATAGTCTGTTACTGACCCTATTAAAAATACAGGGAGACACTCAAGTACTTTGTCGTAAGATCAGTAAGCCTTATATATTCTGCACTAGAAATATCATGAGTGGACAATAGGATTTATGAATGCAGAGTTAATTGGATTTGGAAAGCCATCTGTGGGGTTTCTTTCTCCTGTCTGAGTTTAGATATTATCCCTAATCAAAGACAATAAGGTGACAAGAGAGGAGTTAATGAGAGGGGAAGTGATACTACAGGTTCATATGTGGAAAGCCTTTCTGTGTCATTTCTACAGAAACATGTCTGGTAAAGTCTTTAAGTGCTGACTATGTACCATTGTGAAAATGATATATAACGCCCAAACTGGGTGAAAAGACAGTAAGAGTCATTGTATTGTCAAGGTGAAAGCTGTTGAGACTATTTGCAAGTTACA